CGTCTTTTTTACTGCTTTGGTCAACATTATCTTCTCTACAAGCCTGTTCTACCTCATTTTCATTTTCTGAAACTAAAAAGAGAACTTTAGGTAATGGTATACTATGCGGTCTGCCGTCGCGTTTCTACTATAGCTTACGGTCTACCCAGGGATGCGGTGTACACGCTGTATTCGACAAACAAATCTTTACAAAGTGAACAAAACGCATAAATCATAAGAATTTCTATTTTAATTTTACATATCAATACTTTCAATAAATAATTCTTCAACATTATCCGTGTTATTCACTTTGTAAAGATTGTTTTTTTTTGGTATTGTATACATGTGTTGCTAATCACCATATTTTTTTCTCAGAAGGGTTTGCAAACAATAATGAAAGGCACCATTGTAGACGAACTGTTTATTGCTAAGTACAATAAACATTTATACTACTATTATTTAGGAATATAAAATAAACTACGCAAATTTATTTTCTTTACTAATATGCAAATAACACCCTAATATTTTCCCAGAGTATGCACAAATATGAACCCCTCTTTTCAAATAACATGGCAAGGTAGATTTACTTTCATTTCATTTTACATTGATTTTGCTCCAAAATAAATGTAAAATAGTTTTTACTTGTGAATAATTAATTTTTACACAAGATTTTTCTTGCATATCATTATTTTGTGCATCAGGTAGATCGCACCCTCGAGGTAGACCACATACTAGAGTAACACCGAACTTTAGTACAATACATACGTAATAATTCCAAGAGATTTGACTTACCCTCTATTTCCGATTCCGTTTCGTGATCGATGTCAATAGCAACATTTCCATCACAAATTGATTCAACTTCGCTTATGTCGTCATCTACGTCATCAAGCCATTTCAAAAGCGTTTCCTCATAGTTTTTATCCCCATATTTGACCTTTTTTGACGTACTGGGTCCCTCATCCATTTTCAGATAAATAGTAAATAAATACGAACACTAACAACCCGTCTATCAGACGGAAATCACACTTTGAATCTAAATATCTTTAGAATAACAACCTGCAGCAAACTGCTGATCTCAATACTAATAAATAACAACCCAACTTGAAAAGTCAGGAACAGGCGACCTTCAAAATTTTTTAGGTAGGGAGATATCCCACTTTCGACAAGCGATGCCGTCTGAGAGACGGGGCGTTAGTACTTAAGGGTTAAATTTAGTTATAACTCATTTGTCCGAGACTAAAAGAATAGACATTTTAACTATGATTGGTTGTGGAAAGAGCTCAAAAAGAGGTTTGTGAAATGTTAATAATGAATACCCTGGTCAACAAGTTTCGTTGTCTACAGTTAGCATAATTGGACTTGTAAAAAATATTGAAAAACCAGGTACAAATAATAAATTTATTGATAAAAAACAGTTAGACGTACTTCTAGAGATTGAGGAAAATCCGCATAAGATAACTCGAGAACTTGCTGCCATCAATGATGTAAGTAAATCATCTATTTTGAGAGTTTTACACAAAGAAAAATACCACCCTTACAAAGTTTAGTTGGTTCAGGAGTTAAATAAAGATAATCCTGATAGAAGGCAAGAATTCTGTGAAATTATGATGGACAGAATGAACTCAGATTTGCAGTTCATAAACAAAATAGTTTTTTCTGATTAAGCGACGTTTTATTTAAACGGAACGGTTAACAAACCGAACTGTAGATATTGGAGTAGAGCAAATCCTCACTGAGTGTGTGAGTCTCACACGCAATATCCTAAAAAATTAACGGTTTAGGGCTGGTATTATTAACAATAAAATTATTGGTCCATATTTTTTTGATGTCGCAATTGATGATGAGGTTTATCTAGATTTTTTGATTAACTTTTTAGTGTCTACATTACGAAGATTTTTTCCTTATGTTAGAATCATCCAAATTAGATAGATGGACCTTTTTACTACCAAAAAGTCGGAGCTCTATCACATCTTGCACTTGTAATTAGAAATTATTTAATCGAGCTTTTTCCCAACAGCTGGATTGGAAGACGTTGAACAATCGAATGGCCGGCTAGATCCCCGATTTGACTTCTCTTTATTACTTCTTATGGCGTTATTTAAAATCTAAAGTATAATTTACTAAACCAAACAGTATGGCTAATTGAAAAATTGGGATAACGGAAAAAATTAACAAAATAACTCCCGGAGTCATAATGTGGTCATTTTGGACATTTAATTTAATTGTAAAGTATATTGAAAAATACATTCTAAATATTATGTGACATTATTACCTTCATTCAACCTAAAGTTTTGTGGTAAAAACATTATCAAAGTTTTACGTTTTAAAAATAAATTTTCTAGGTTATTATTGCACCAAACTTTGCTAACAAGGTGCTACACGACCCCCTTTGCCATGTAAAATTTTCAAGGGGGTGCTTATAATTCAAAGGGGGTGCTGGAGGGGATATTATTTTGGGACACAGAAGTGTTTTGTTTACAATAATTTTAGTTTTTCTTTGGATATTTCTTGAATGGAATTGTTTTTAAAGTCCATAGTATGCCATGTTTGTAAGGTTTATTCTTCTTTTAATTTATTTACTTGTTTTGTTGGTAGTAAACACTAGCGAGCCAAGATATGTGAAGCTGTCAACATGTTCAAAGATATGACCTCCAAAAACTTTTTTCCATTCCTCATTTGTTATAAGATCCGTAGTACCCAACATGTACTTGCTTTTGTTTGTGTTCCAATTCTAGGAAGTATTGCTAAACATCTCGTTTGCTTTACTCTATTATGTCAATATCATCAGCGTATGCTAACATTTGTATCGATCTATTATAAATTTTACAGCTGTCTCTGTTACTACTTAAATTTATATTTTCTTTCTCTCTCTTATCGTTCTTAGAGTATCCATGTATTCCCTTTCGTATTTGCCCCTGTCATTTTCATATAGTTTTTTTTTCTTGATTTATACTTAGGCCATATTTTCTAGCTTGTTCTTTAAAGTTTGTAAACATTTTTCAAAGTTATATTTTTGAACGTGTCAGAAATATTAAGTCCTCTGCCAAACCTATGCATTGTTGTCTTTTACAGCTAAGAAATATACTGCTTTTCTGGATCTTGGCGCCTCTAATTATTTTTTCTAGTACTAGGTTAAATAAGTGTCTTGGCAGGGGATCTCCCTATTTTCATTCTCTATTGAAGTTAAACGGATTTGAAATACTTCCTTCTATTAAGACTTTATTGACGTATTGGTTAGCGTTATTTTAGGCAATTGTATCAGTTTCTCTGATATTCCTAATAATCTCATCACTTCTACTAGTCCGATTCGCAAGATGGTGTCGTAGTTCTGTTTAAAATCAGTAAAGAGCATATATGCAAACCGAGATTTTTTTCTAAGTGTTGTGTTGTTTTGTAATAACTTTTATTAAACTAAGCATAACGATTTAATTGGTTGTTGTTCTTCCCTGTCTTAAACTAGTCTGGTATTCTCCTATTAACTTTTATTTCGTAGGTTTTTGTTCTACTTATTATAATTTTAGCCAATACTTTATATTATACTAGTTCTATTAATGCGATTTCTCTGTTAGACTCACAGACAGTTTTATTACTTTTCTTGTGAATTGGGCAGATGATGTGATCTATTGCTCTGGCGTTTCTTCATTTTCTCATATGTTTATAATCTAGCTATTTGTTGTTGCAGTATATCTTCTCCTACTTTTAATATTTCTGCTAGAATTCTGCTTTCCCTGCGTTTTTATTATATTTTAGGTATATTATTACTTCTATTGCCTCTGCTTCTCTGTCGGTTCTTGTGTTTGTCGTTATTCTGTTTCTTGTATTCGTTGTTGTATTTCTATTCCTGTTTAGATTTTATCGTTTGATAATTCATATTATAATATAATTTAATATAATATAATATAATATAATATAATATAATATAATATAATATAATATAATATAATATAATATAATATAATATAATATAATATAATATAATATAATATAATATAATATAATATAATATAATATAATATAATATAATATAATATAATATAATATAATATAATATAATATAATATAATATAATATAATATAATATAATATAATATAATATAATATAATATAAATATAATATAATATAATATAATATAATATAATATAATATAATATAATATAATATAATATAATATAATATAATATAATATAATATAATATAATATAATATAATATAATATAATATAATATAATATAATATAATATAATATAATATAATATAATATAATATAATATAATATAATATAATATAATATAATATAATATAATATAATATAATATAATATAATATAATATAATATAATCTAATATAAATATAATTCGTATTTTTATTTTTTGGTACTCTTGTCTTTTTTACAATGTCTTTGATAAAAATGTCTTTTTGAACATAGTTGTTCTCTATTTCTAGTTGTTTTTTCAGTAATTTTCCTTTCTTTGCATGCATTATCGTGTGGCATCTTCACTTTTGGTTTTATATTGATCTTTTCTTTGTTTGTGTTAGTTATAATATTTTCCATTTTTTCGTTGTTCGTTTGTGGTAGGATTCTTTTGCAGTCCTTATCGAAAAAATGGTTGTAAATCTTTCCAACTTCTTGTTTATTTCTTTCTCTATTATTTTTGCTTGCTCTTTATCTTAAATATAACATTTTTCCATTCTTTTCTTTTTCTTGGTTGTTTGTTATCTTCTTGCTAAGTGTACCTATTGTCAATATTATGATCATTGTCGGCATCTGCTCCCCTATGTTATGTTTTCTCATTGTCGTTACTTTCTTTATGCAGGTTTTTACCACCTGTTTTATTTATATAACGTGTGAATAAAACTGATATTCTTGTCTTCTTAATTTTGCATTCATATCTCCTACGATCAATTTTTTTGTCATATTTTGGTGCATGCTTCCAATCAGCCCGCCGAGTTATTCATAGAATTCATTTCTTATTTACTTTCAAGGCCTTTACATATACAGGTCATTAAAACAAGACTAGTTAAATTAATTTAAATTTATTTATTCATCAAACCATTAAAAGTTTACATTCTAGTTAATACGACTACGGCCTATTTTTTAAAGATATACATACTCCATTCTTTGACACAAGGATTGTTTCTGGAGATAACTGCAATTTGTTTTGACTCGTTGAAGGATATAGCTCAAAGTTTCTTATCACTTTTGATATCGTACTCTTCATTTCTAGTATAGCAAACTTTTGACCTAAAAAATTAATCATTAAAAGTCAGACGTTTATTATAGTTTGAACATCAGTAAAGTAAAACATAAAACATAAAAGTCCAAACACTAATTACCTCAATAAAACTGGAGTCACCAGATAAAGAAAACACTTGACGATAATTTGTCTTTATCCTCATGGGGGAAAGAAATATGTCATCGAAAAAAAAAAATACACAACTGGATGAAATAAAAGTACAAAACTAACAGTCAACCAATGACAAAAATATTCGATGAGTAAAGGACCTGAGAATTAAAACACATTGTCCAGGATCACACCTGCTGCTAACTTTGATTATATTTAATAAGTAATAATTACATGCGATGTGGGTTTTTTAATTCGTATTGTTATTTATAATTCATATTCTTTTAATATTAGGAGGTGCAGTAAAATTTAACCTCTTCCTCGAAATAATAGTGAAATTTTGACGTTGGTGTAGGGGCTCATATTCGTCTTGGTCGTAGTTTGTACGTTTGTAGTACAGGATTCTCCTGCCAAACTACTACATCAAAATAGACTTTGAAACTTAAACCAATATATTGATTGGATAAATCTAACTATACAATAATTATTTCTGCTGCACTGAGTTGATAAAACAAAATAACACAGTAAAAGGCAATACCATAGTCTCAAAAACCGCAAAGCTTCACTTGTATGGGAAACTCTGGTACGATGTTTAGGAGTATTAAAAAGTGTCTAAAGGTCTTAGGTAATAACATAATCGGTAAAGATACCGACAGACATTAAATCTTGAAAACAAGTTTGTGAAAATTTCATCGTAAACGAATTTGTTAATACTAAATAATATAACACAAATCGCAATATATGCTATCGCGTATTAAACTGTTAGGGGAAAATGCAGAAGGAGTATAAATTGGGCTTACTGCAAACAAAAGATACTCAAGGGTACTTTAAAAGCGTCTCAATTTATCCAAAATATGTATCGCCCATATAAGCAAGCTACACTTAAAAGTTAGAAATATACAACGTATAATCTCATAGAAGCTTTTTCTGATAGTCTTGCTAAACAAGGAGATAATGCTCTTTTTATTGCATCAGGCCTATTCTGCAGTTTTAAGTACAAACATCTATATAGTGTATGTCCGCATAGTTTAAAAATGGGAAAAGATATTTAGTGTAGTCTATTGGGTAAATATTCCAGCAGATAACTAAGACCTTATATCCTCCTGCTGACCACATAAAACTGCTCTATGATAATTAGAAGACTAAATCACAAGCGTAGTGCTTACCTGTATATCATTTGTATAAAATAGGCAAAGTAGACGAAACAACATGTAGATTAAGCGAAAATGCAGAGAAAATTGCCAAACATATTTACTTAAACTTCAGGACAATTATTCATCGATGCCAAAAATACTTAGTACAGGTATTTTAGAACCTGACGAGACAACGAAATGCTATTTCTGTAATGAATAATGGGCTTTTTTCTAACACCCTATATAATTCTCTTTACCTTATCTTTCTCAGATGACAAAAATTTTGGATGTTTCTTCATCAAATAAGTATAAAAACTCCAACGGTTTGAACATTCACATTTTATAAAAATAAATATCAAACACAATTACCTATGCAATTTCTGGGCCCTGCACTGAACGGAGTATAGATATAAGGGTTCGTTCCACGTGTATCTTCAAATCTCTGAGGATCAAATTTTAACGGATCTGGAAAGTATTCTGGATCCCGATGTACTGCGAAGGTAAATAATACAACATTAAGTCCCTTTGGTAATACTTTTCCATCTAAAAAATAAAATAAGTATATATTATTTGTATTAATGTTTTTTTTTTATAAAGTTTACATTACATGCTTGTTTAATCTCTCGGTTAATAACTAGTGACAAATTCTTGAGACATTCAGCTATCAAAATAATTGAAGCATAGCTTACCTAAATCGGCACTTGGATTAAAAGTGAATGTTGGAAAAGTAGACCAGCGGCATGGTCGTAACTACTAGATTTAAAAAAAAAACTCTCCTTAGACAGGTGTGACGTGTGGTGATAAAACTGCCCTTTTTAAAACAGATTAATACATTTTGGTTTCTCAGATAAAAACAATAAGTAAGTGGGGCTTTGAAATTTTTAAACATTTTGGGAGAAGCTTGGTGCAGTATTCGAGGACCTCTTGTGGTAAATGACTTAACGAAAACTTAAAGAAAAACAAGTATTTTTCCTCCTTATCGAGATTCTATTTTTAAAGAAATGTTTAATACTAAAAAGTTAAAACAATTTTATAAAGATAAAAACATTAGTGACAATATTTTTAACCAGCAAAGTTCTACGGTTAAGCAAACTCTGATCCTATGTACAAGCCCTTGCACCTCTACTACAGAAAGCCAGAATTAAATTGCATCAACTTCTGTTGCACTCTGGGAGAACGTTCTACTAGGAAGAATGTATCCTTCTCAGAAGCTAGAACAAAGGAAGAAGAAAAGAATAGATGTTGCTAAGGTGATATCAACTAAAATATATTTAAAAATTCTACCATTATTAAAAATTAAGACCAAACCTTCAAGGAATATATTCAAAAAACAATCAAAGTTAAGTACTCCATTTCTTCTGCTTCTTATTCTTTTTATGTTCTATGACATGACTCTGCCTGTTTTTCAATGTGCGTCCAGTAAGTTGTCGTTCCACCGTTTTCTTGGTCTTCCTAGTATTTTCATCTCTGCTGTTTCTAACATATTTTTTGTCCTCGCTGTGTCAGGTCTTGTTTTTACCGCGTATGTCACTATTGGTCTGATGATTGTTTTCTAAATTTTGCCTTTCGTTTCTTTCCCGATATTTTTATTTCTCTATATTGTTTCATTTAGGCAGCCTGCGGCTCTGTTTGCTCTATTTACTTATTCTTTCATTTCAGTTTCGAGGTTTCCGTAGCTAGATAATGTGATGCCTGATATTCAAAATCCATCACTTGTTGTATTATCTGACCTTTCAGCTCCAATTTACATCTTAGTAAATTGGCTGTTGTAACCATGCATTTTGTCTTTTTTTGAGGAAATTAACATATTAACTTTTTTGGCGGTTATATTAAATTTGTGCAGCATCCGTATTCTGTCCTCTCCTGGTGATTTTCTATTTTTTAATTTCCTTAATGCTTCCTTTGCTTCTTCCTTCTAAATATCTATTTCTTCGTTTGTCGTCACCTCTGGTATTGATGGTTCATAATCGTCACCTTTAGCAAATAGGAATCGGAAGTAGTCTACCCATGTTTCCTTCTGAATGTTTCGTTTTTATTAGTTCGTTCATCTCTTTTCGTTGTCCTCTGATCATTCTCCATATTTTTTTGCGTTCTATAGATGTCGTGTATCATCTGTTTTGAGAAACTCTGTCAGTGTTTCTTTTTTATTTTTCTAACTAAAGTATTCGTTTGATTTCTAATTCGTTTCCTAGTGGTTGTATGCTAGTTGTGTTTGTTGTGCTCTGTATTGTATAAAGGCGGTCTTCTTTTTTTATATTTTGTCTTTACTTTATGTCTAGACCATGATGTTCTCTTTTTTGATATGTTAGTGTTCGTTACTTTCCTTTCTCCAAGTGATTCTGTTGCTGCGTTAATTATGTTATTTTTGGGTTTTTTTAGCTTTCCTCGATGTTATTGTTTCCCAATATTTCATGCCCAGCGATCTTCTTTTATATTCTTTTCCTGTATAATTATTTTGTAGATTCCGGGTTTAGTCCTTCGACTTTGATTTTTGTTTGTATTGGCGCCGCTCTCTTGGGTGGGAATTATTGCATGATGATTCTTATTTTACATAATACTAGGCTATAGTCGCTGCTTACATCTTCCTGGGTTAGTTGTGGAATGGATTGAGTAGCTCTCCGGTTACCACAGCCAGTCCCATGCCCGGATAAAATATGGAGTGTGATTGACAAGATTAGCAATCTACCAATCATAAGAACAAATATTGCTTAAAGAAACAATGGACAGGGGACCTAAGACATAAGTGCTGAAAGAGAAAGAAATAGACAGTTATGCTCTACAGGAAACAAAAAAGAAAGGAAAAGGTCAATCAAAATTAGGTCCTACATGCTAATCTACAGTGAAGTAGCAAAAGAAAACAGGGCCAAAGACCTGTTGGTGAAGCTGAACATGAAGCTTACTAATACACCAAAGGTACCAAAATCACATTAAAGAGTGTTAATACATATCAGAAAGAATAGTAACAGCCAAAATAAGAATGTAGAAGGAAGACCTGAATATCATCGGAGTATACAGCCCAGAAAATAACAAGCCTCAAACAAAAAGGGAAGCATTTTATGACCAATAACAACAACTAGTGGATCAAGTCGTGGGGATTAAACAAAAACAAAACGAGAAAAAACTTAAGGTGTGACGATAAAAATTCCTAAGATTTCTCCGATATTGATTAACTTGACTTTTTAACTAATCTGCAAATATTAACCCTTCTTTATATATTTGTATATATATATATATATATATATATATATATATATATATATATATATATATATATCGGAAAAAGGAGTACGACCGTCAATCCAATATATATATAAGGATCACTCAGACGAGTGGTGGGTTCTTATATCGGTCTCTAGGTGGAGAAATAAAAGACAAAGTTGATAGGCTACTTTATCTATTTTGAAGACGTTTCGCTTTCGAGTTTTGAAAGCATCATCAGTTCATCTAAAAAAGTACAATATGAGAACCACACAATCATGGAAACGATGGATTTCCAAATAGTAGGTAACCAAATTTCTACATCTATAACTTCTCCTTCATCTCTAATTTGTTATTAACTTGTTATTAAAACCCATGTCTCATATGATTATTTCGACAAAGTACAAAAACTTACCGTACTCTACATCTTCAGATAATTCTCGTCCTATGTACGGTACAGAAGGGTACAATCTTAGAGTTTCCTTGATTACTAGCTCTAAATATCTCATATCGTTTAAATGTGCTACAGTTGGTTTTGCTGTTTTTAAATCAGCTAAAAGGGATTTTTGCTCCTCGTACGCCTTTTGCTAGAATCAGTTGTACAGTTTATAAATATTATTGTTTTGGGTTATAATTAGGTTAAAACAGTTATATACGTACAAGTATATGAAAACATATACAAATATATTATGTAGAGATTATTTCGTGCATAAAATACCAAATAAATGAATAATAAATAAAAAATACATATTCTAAAATGTTCAATGTCTTGTCTACAATGTTTATTGCAATAAACTGTGCATAACTTCTTCTTTGTATCTATCTGGCATAGTTCTTTATTAAAAATTAATTTTAACTGAGCCTTTTATGATCTTTGATATTTTTAAAGTATTTTTGTTCATTTATAGCAAAACTTAAAGTTCTATAATTTATTCAATAGATACAATATTGGAGTATACGTATGATAAACAATTATTATATTATTTTTATTATGACCAATATAGGCCAGCGTCGTATTTACAGATCACGGAAATTTTATTATTTTTTAACCCTCGATTTGTTAAATTAAAAAAAAATCATCAATATTTAAGTCTGTAGTAAACTAAATTATAATTTTTGTTGTATAATATTTCCAATATTCTTTAAATAAAAAAATTATAAATTAATATAATTAATAGTAAAAGTTTCATATCGGCCGCTTTGTATTCTTAACTGAATTATTCTTGTTCATTAAAGTTTATTCTAAACTATGTTCATCAATAAACATCGGAAGTATAAATTGTTAAATCGCCATTATAAGTTTTATTTTACTTATCTAACAATAGGACAGTAGTCAGTAAAGAACCAACCAGATGTAAATTAGGAATTTATGGCATCAGCCATGGAGACCTGGACAAATAGGTGAGAGATCAAGTACCAAAAGCTAATAGACGGGCAGGATGTCTTAATAACACTATGGTGAAATAGAAACACTAAAACTGAGATGAAATAAGAATTTATAAAGCCAGTGTAAGACCAATAATGACATATGCCTCAGAAACAAGACTCGACACAGTCACAACGCAAAGGCTACTGGAAACAGCAGAGATAAAAGTACTGAGAAGAATTACAGGAAATAAGCTCAGAGATCGAAAGAGAAGTGAAGACATTAGAATAAACTGTAACGTACAGTGAATAAATGAATAAACACAAGTGTAATATCATGATATAGAGCACACTTTGTCTGTACACGATTTAAAAAGTATTTTCGGTATTTCTCGCGTAACTAAGGCGGGAAAGAGGTAATTACGATAGAAAAACAGCCAAGATAGATGCTGTTCTTCTTGATAATCGAAGAGAGAGAGAGACAGAATGACTGTCTTTAGCGGTAGCTGAGAATCCAAAAAGGCACGACTCACTTTGGCGGTAGTCAGATCAAGAGAGATTGTTTCTTATTGCTATCTTAACACTGTCTATATTTCTTAAGGGAAGGGGGTTGAAATGTAAATAGGAAGGGTTATTAAGGGTTGGACTAAAATAATTATTGTAAAGTTGTGATATAAGGATAGTTAAAATACAGCGAAAAAATAACATGATTTTTCGCATGTGAAAAAATTTAACATACTGGGGGTGGGCGAGAAAAGTTACGCCACTGGGATAGGGTATCAAATAGCTACTTCGAGAGTGAGGGTAAATCGGTATAAATTAGAAATATTGTTGTAAAAAACTAAGATAACTAAAAACTATTTAAATTCTATTGAAACTAAACTCTAGAGAAACTATATACATATTTGGCTGAAAGCGCTACTATTGGTTAAAGGGTAACCTAGCTACTTTCTTTATTGGCCTAAGGTATTCGCCATAAGGTGTGGATACCCTAACAGTTCGAACAAGAGAATATTTGCCTGGGAGCACTTCGATGATCTTTGCCAGAAGCCAGTGGAGCGGGGGAGTCTGCTCATCTTTAATTAGTACAACATCACATACCTTTAAAGGATCGGTAGTGATGTTCCACTTATTCCTACTTTGGGTCATACGCAAGTATTCCACCGACCACCTTTTCCAAAATGTTTGGTGAATTTTCGAGATGTGCTGAAAGAGGGAAAGACGGTTCTGTGGTATTTCTAAGAGATCTGGTTCTGGTGGACTTGTGAAGCTTTTTTTTCCAAGGAAGTGTCCGGGCGTTAAGACTAAGAGATCATTTGGATCATTTGAGAGCTGAGTGATAGGTCTTGAGTTTACAATGGCTTTAATTTGGCAAATTATGGTATAAAAAACTTTAAAGGTAAAACGAAGATTTCCCACAAGACGATAAAGATGGTATTTGGCACTTTTAATCCCTACCTCATGCAACCCAAATTAAGAAGGGTTACGAGGCACTCCAAATTTAAAACGAATAGAGTTTTCAGAGCAAAAATTAGCAATTCTCTGCGAAAAGTTCTTACTTTTAAAGAGTTCGTTTAACTCAATAAGCTGATTGCGGGCACGATAGAAATTAGTAGTATTGTCTGACCATATAATCTCAGGAGCACTCCGTCTTGCAACAAATCTTTTAAGGGTGAGAATAAAAGCATCAGCTGTTAAGCCGGTGACAAATTTCATATGTACACATTTGGTTATCATACATATGAAGAAGGCTATGTATGCTTTATATAACGGGGCCTTTCTAAGCTGAGAGGATCGGATCATGAAAAAACTTCTGTAATCTACTGAGACCCTTTGAAAAGGTCTTTTCGAGAGAATACGATTTGGATGGAGATCTGCCAGAAGTTGCGTTGACTTGGATGTCATGAAACGGAAACATTTCACACAGTCGTGTATTATTTTCTTCATTTGTCGTATTCCAGAGATATGCCAATATTTCGATCGAAAATTTGATATTGTGGTCAAAGCGCCTGCATGTCCCAATCTAACATGCATTTGCTTTATCATAACTTGACAACTGAATGATTAGAAAGTAGTAGCAAGGGATGTTTCTGTTCGAAAGAAATAGGGGCAAATTCTATTCTACCACCTACATGAAGAAGTCCAGTTTTGTCGGAGAGGAAGGGGTTTAGTGCCCTGATAGTTTTATCAGAGATTATTTTCCGATGTTTTAACTCATGAAACTCTTTAAGAAAGGCCTGTGACTGTATGTACCTAACAATCACAGTGGTGGAGGAACTAATTTCACAAACTTGCAGTGGTCCTAACTCTAGGGGTGAATTAGTATGTCTTCTCCTTAGATTTGAAAGCAACCTATACCAGCGTTCTCTGAATTTTTGAGAATGATGAAAATTTATTAAAACTTATTTCAAGGGTATCATTCACTTGAGATACGTCAGCAGTTGTGCTTAGAGTGACTTGAGTGTGCCTGAGTTCCAGTAAGTCTCTGGACTTACTGGATTGCACTGGAAACTAAGAAGGGGGACCTTCGGTCCACAATTTTCGCTCTAAGGCTCTAGAGGGCAAATCTGCTGCGTTTAAAGAGGAACTTACATGATGAAATAAAAAGGATTGGCTTAATTCTTTGATTTGATTTACACGATAAAGTACAAATGGATTCCATGTAAATTTAGTTGTTACAATCCATGGTAAAGCTATGAGGCTGTCTGAAAATATGTGAACTTCAGATATTGTAACGTTTTTTTAAAGGACCTCAAGTATTTTTCTCGTAAGAGTGACACCTAATAAGATACCAGCAATTCTAACCGAGGAATAGTTAGTTTATTTTTTATTGGGGCTATTCTAGTTTTCGATACTATAAGGCGCGACGTGATTGTGTTGTCACTATACACGACTCGAAGATAGACACAAGCAGCATATATGTCCTGAGAGGCATCAGTGAAACAATGAAATTGCATATCCGATGTAGGTAGTGGGAGAGTTAGACTTCTGGAAAATGTGATTTGGGATATTGATTCGAATCTGTCCAATAATGATTTTCATTACATAGATGACATACAATACAATAGATGACATCAATAGGTCATCTATTATATGACTGTCCCAGTCTAAGGCCGTCCGCACATGAAGCTACTAAAAAGAAACTAGTTGGTAACTTGTGTTACCAACCAGTCGCTTATTCGTTACTGCCCATGTATTTTTATCAGTATCCGCACACAGCGCTACTAGTTAGTAACCGGTCCCTAATGCATTAATGATCAGTCGACAGTAGACTGGACGTGCAGGTCGCTTGGCGACTAGTTTCTAGTGAGTTTCTGGTTTGTTGTGATATTTTTAACACGCGAAATGGCGAAATTGGTAGAACAGTTGTTTAATATAAAATTAGTGCAAGAAGTGGAAAAATATTCCTGCCTATACAACTATACGTTAACTGAATATTCGCGTAAAGCATTACCGAAAAGGCTTGGAATGATATAGGAAGAGAATTAAATTTAACAGGTATGTATTTACTATACTCATATATGTGTTTATTTAAATTAGTACAAAGTAAGCTATACACTATATTTCCATTGCCATGGAAGAGCAGCTCCTGGAGTTGTAAAGTAATTAGATAAATAATCTCTTAAGTTATATGCGGAAGATTGGTCAGTGATGACTTCATGGTTTTGCCTTATATGGTATTCCTTCTCGTTTTCGTACATAATTATGTAGAACACAAACAGATTGTGTTATCTTAATAATTTTTTCAAGCGAGTGGCATTTGATTGGAGTATCTAAAACTTCTATTGTACGTCTTCCCCGACTTAATCGATAATTAAATATTCTTTTTTTATTGTCCAAACCACGTTGTGGATATGGTCTCATTAAGTAGCGTAGTAAGGGAAATGCTTCGTCGCCAGCAAAGTAATACGGAAATTTATTATTGCTCTCGTCGGTGGGTAATTTTGAAGATAGCGGAAAATTTAGTACGCCCTTTTCAATCCAATGCTTAATAGCTGACGCACGGAAAATTCCACCATCGCTATTTCTGTCAGCATAACTAGTTTCAACCAATGTGAATAGGCCATCTGCATCACAACATGCCATTAATATGATGGAATGGTACGTTTTGTAATTAAAATTACTTGATCCGGTATTGGCAAGCTTTTCTATGCGAATATGTTTCCCGTCAATAGCCCCTAAGCAATTTGGTAAATTCCACAATAAATAAAAACGTTCTGCA